CTCTGCTTTGGTGATGTCTGATCTTTGATTGTGTTTATGTAAAATGAATGCAGATTACAAAAGCCTGCAGTGTAACTATGAGCATGTAGTCAGACCAATTGCCCAGCTAGGGCAGAAAACACATGAGCAAGGATTTCTAATTATTTATTTTGTGAGGCATTAAACATTGCCAGAATAAAAAAAAAATGAAAAAAATGTATGACTGAGCGGCAGTACTGCATTACACATATTTGCTCCATGACTGACATCCTGAAATTCCCAGAAAAAATCCAAAATAACTAAAAGCTGACCATATCCTGGAGGCACCCACAAGCCCCGACACACCCGCCTCAGGCTTCCAAGGTTGGGCTGTTCTGTCGGAATGCAGCATTTAAATTCAATGTGTTTTTTCTTAGGATAAAAAAAAAAAGTTTTTTTTCACACCCAGACCAAATACTCAAAAGCACGTTCTCAAGTGCTTTCTGGCATGTCTGCTACAGCATGATCCAATTCGTTTTTCTCTCTAACAAATGCCAGCTGCATGTTGGCAGCCAGAGCTCACATATACAAAGCCAAACTAGTTTGAGATAAAACATCATGACCAGCTTCTGCTGCTAAACTATTCAGAGATAAAAAGGCATTTCCCCCTTTTCACTAAAAAACACATCAGCATAAAGTTCTGAATACTGATGTGAAATCATATTCTATTCATTAAAGTAAACTAAAGGCAATTGTTTTACATTTTGGATTGGGTAAGGGAAGGTTACAACTCCTGGTTTTTACCATCTGTGTTGCATTGGTGAAATTTCCTCGACCTTCCTGTCCCATAGTCAAACCAGAAAGTGAGAAGTCCGTCAAACAAATCCCTGGTTGTCCCCAGAACTAGGGCCCCCATTGGAAGAGTTCTCCTTTATTACTGTTCTGAGGACAATTCGAATTATAGTAAACAGGACAAATAGGGAGGGCGAATCTCCCTAAGAGGGGCATAGACAGCAATAAAAACCTGACAGGTGTTCAAAATCCCTCTCCACTCTATCCAAAAACAAAGTTCTGCTTTTAGCCCCCAATCACACCAATGCAATTTATCATGTGATTTGACAGTTCAAAAATAACATGACAAGTTGCACCCTTTGTGTGCCTATGGAACCATTCAAATCGGTGTGACTCCAACTTTGTGGTGCGGCACAGATTTTGAAAACATGCTCCTGCACTATTTTTGGGGATTTCATGTGCAACTTGTATAGATATCTGTGCTCAGATGTCAGGCAAGCTGCACATTAAATTGCACTGGCCACCGGCTTTGAAATAGCGCTACTAAGTGAAGTAGAACAATTTCGAAGCCGCATTCAGTGTCAACAGGGATAACGCCGGCCATACATGGGTCGAAAATCGACTGATTTTTTTGTCCGAAGAATAATCGTCCAATTTTCACTCTGTTAGTGGGTCAATGACACCGGACAAGTTTCGTGGTTCCTCCCCTTTTCGGTGATCAGGCATGTTGGAAAATTCGTGAAAAACAACTGATTTTTGACTCAATGATGGTCAAATCGTACGATCGTTTTTCCGAAAAGAATATGCGCATAAGCCATGACCTGGAAGGAACAGAAGTTTTGCCTGTTATATGGGGTGAACTTTATGACTTAGTCGGCCAATTTTCTAAATCAACGATGGCACCATCAGATTACCGAGCGAACGACGATTCCAATTTTCGGACGAAAAATCTTTCGGAATTTGAACCATGTATGGCCTGCATTAGTTAGACTTTAACATTGTTTGCTTTCAAGCCTCTCTTACACCTGTGTCGGTTTGTGAAAAGCAATCAACAGTGGATCGTTTTTCACCGAGCATGCAGGCGCGGCTGACAGGCATTCTCCTTTTTTTCTGTATAAATGAACACCATTTTTCCATAGGAATATCATGCCGCGAACCACGAGCCTAATGTTGGCTTTGCACTCACAGCACAGCCCCATTCGCTTGAGTAGTTCGCATTCAAAAGGTGATACTGCCCACTGACCATGAGAAGGGGGATCACTTTTCAATGCTGCAATGAAAGCATCGAGACATGTGTACAACCTCATCCGGCTGCCTTTACACCCTAAGAGCTTGATTGAGGAGAGGTAAAAACACGACTTAATGGACTATTTTTACCCTGCCTCAACTGCAAGGGTAAACTAGGTCTTAATTACAGTTGCTATTTTTCAACTTCCTGACATCTTGAGGCACTGGTGATGTAACCCTGGCCTCAGAGATGCAGCTGAGAGGTTCCTGTCACTCCAGGAGGCAGACCCAGTGTTCCAGAAAGTAAAAGGGAGATGGATTCTCCTGCCCATGGACCTTTATGTGCAGTACTGCTTAGACCTGAAGAAGGGGACATTCCCCGAAAGCTTGTCCTCAAAACTGTATGTTAGTGCAAATAAAAAAAGTATCACGGACAGTACTCAAATTGTTCCTGCCCATAGAAAAATATAGCCACTGTGATGAAAAGAGGAAAACAAAAAAAAGGCATGTGAAGAAAAAAAGCTTGCAATTATCTGTAATTAACTGCTGCCATTACTAAACATTTCTAAAGGGGCCTTTTTAATTTCTATGAAAGGGTGTTCCTCTTAAAGTGATCTAGCAATTTTTTTTTTTTTTACCTTAACCGCTTGCCCACTGCCCTATTACTAGAACTACTGCTACAGGATGGAAGGGCTGCGCAAAATCACGTATATATTCACACGTGATTTGCATTTCCGGATAGGGGGCGCGCACGCTGCCATTGCAGGCTAGGCATGTCAATCACCAGGTCCCGGCCAGAAATTCTCTGCCAGCACCTGGCAATCGCTGTGTAGAACTAACAGGGGAGAGACCTGTGTGTAAACAAAACAGGTCTCTCTCCTGCCAGCACGGATATGCTGCTGTGTATTTCTCTGACGCTGTGCTTTGTGAAGGGCCCCATAAGCTTCTGGCACCTGTCACGTGTCCCAGAAGACTACAGGAGAGAGGACAACTTCCGCTTCCAATCGCCTCGCCTAAGTGGGAGAGGGTACATGTCAAATTCAGGTACCCGCTTCCCCAATGCTTAAAAGGGGAGCGGGGGACAAAGGCTTAAAGCGGAACCTCCCCTTTTGAGTGGAGTTCCGTTTTAAAGCAATCCACTGAGCTGGCCAAAACCAACTCTTGAGGGAGTGTATTCCACATGTTCACAGCTCTTACTGTGAAGAAACCTTTCCATATTTGGAGATTAAATCTCTTTTCCTCCAGACGCAAAGAGTGCCCCCTTGTCCTCTGATGACCTCAGGGTTCACTATATGAACCACTGATATATTTATACATGTTGATCATATCCCCCCTTAATCTCCTCTTCTCAAGAGAGAATAAATTCAGTTCCTCTAATCTTTCCTCATAGCTTATCTCCTCCATGCCTCTTATCAGTTTGGTTGCCCTTCGCTGTACTTTCTCCAGTTCCCCAATGTTCTTTATGTGAATTGCTGTCCAAAACTGAACTGCATATTCCAGATGAGGTCTTACTAATGATTTGTACCGGGGTAATATGATATCTCTCTCTCTGGAGTCTATACCTCTTAATACAAGAAAGGATTTTGCTCGCTTTAGAAACCGCAGCTTGGCATTGCATGCCATTATTAAGCTTGTGATCTACCAGAACTCCCAGACCCTTCACCACCATTGATTCCCCCGGTTGTTCGCCCCCTAGTACCGTATTTTCCGGCGTATAAGACGACTTTTTACCCCTTGAAAATCTTCTCAAAAGTCGGGGGTCGTCTTATACGCCGGTAACGGCATGCTGACACTTTTTAGGGGGGCGGCGCGGTGCCGCCGCCCCCCCCCCCCCCCTTCCAATAGAAGGGAAACTAAGTACAGGGGTGGGCAGGGGCTGCTGTCTCTTACCTGGCTCCGGTCCCACGACGATCCGGTCCAGGAAGCGCGGCTGCTCCTTCCTTCGGTTCGTCCACGGGATGTTTGCGCGGCTGCTCGGCTCCGCCTCCTCACCGGTGATTGGCCGCCAGAACTGTAGCTCAGGAAAGGCACACAGGCGGCCAATCACCGGCAAGGAGGCGGAGCTGAGCGGCCCCGCGAAAATCGAGTGGAGATGCAGGTAAGTGTGCCGTGCTTAGGTGCTGCTGCAACCACATATGCTGGCTGCAGCAGCACCGTACTGGAACAGGGGTCAGCAAGTGTCAGTGGGAGGAATAGTGCCCCCCATCGTTGGTGTCACTGATACCAATGATGGGGCATTATTCCTCCCACTGACACCAATGATGGGGCACTTTTCCTCCCCCCCACTGACACCAACAATGGGGCACTTTTCCTCCCCCCCCCCCACTGACACCAACGATGGGGCACTTTCCTCCCCCCCCCCCACGACACCAACGATGGGGCACACTTTTCCTCCCCCCCCCCCCACTGACACCAATGATGGGGCACTATTCCTCCCCCCCCCCCACTGACACCAATGATGGGGCACTATTCCCCCCCCCCCCCACTGACACCAATGATGGGATACTATTCCTATTCCCCCACTGACACCAAAGATGGGGGGCTATTCCTCCCCCCCACTGACAGCAACGATGGGATGCTATTCCTCCCACTGACACCAATGATGGGGTGCTATTCCCCCCAATGATACTAATGATGGGGCACTATTCCTGCCACTGATACCAATGATGGGGCACTATTCCTGCCACTGATACCAATGATGGGGCACTATTCCTCCCACTGATACCAATGATGGGGCACTATTCCTCCCACTGACACCAATGATGGGGCACGATTCCTCCCACTGATACCAATGATGGGACACTATTCCCTCCCACTGACACCAATGATGGGGCACTATCCTGCCACTGACACCAATGATGGGGCACTATTCCCACCACCAATGATGGGGCACTATTCCTCCCACTAACACCAATGATGGGGCACTATTCCTCCCACCACTGACACCAATGATGGGGCACTATTCCTCCCACTGACTATTCCTGCCTCCCATGACACCAATGATGGGGCACTATTCCTCCCACTGACACCAATGATGGGGCACTATTCCTCCCACTGACACAATGATGGGGCACTATTCCTCCCACTGACACCAATGATGGGGCACTATTCCTCCCACTGACACCAATGATGGGGCACTATTCCTCCCACTGACACCAATGATGGGGCACTATTCCTCCCACTGACACCAATGATGGGGCACTATTCCTCCCACTGACACCAATGATGGGGCACTATTCCTCCCACTGACACCAATGATGGGGCACTATTCCTCCCACTGACACCAATGATGGGGCACTATTCCTCCCACTGACACCAATGATGGGGCACTATTCCTCCCCCACCAATGATGCACAACACCAATGATGGGGCACTATTCCTCCCACTGATACCAATGATGGGGCACTATTCCTCCCACTGACACTAATGATGGGGCACTATTCCTCCCCACATTAATGATGGGGCACTATTCCTCCCACTAACACCAATGATGGGGCACTATTCCTCCCACTGACACCAATGATGGGGCACTATTCCTCCCACTGATACCAATGATGGGGCACTATTCTCCCACTAACACCAATGATGGGGCACTATTCCTCCCACTGACACCAATGATGGGGCACTATTCCTCCCACTGACACCAATGATGGGGCACAATTCCTCCCACTGACACCAATGATGGGGCACTATTCCTCCCACTAACACCAATGATGGGACACTATTCCTCCCACTAACACCAATGATGGGGCACTATTCCTCCCACTGATACCAATGATGGGGCACGATTCTTCCCACTGGTGTGCATTGGAAGAGGGGTAGTCTTATACGGCGAGTATAGCCCAAACACTACATTTTAAACAGGAAAAGTAGGGGGGTCGTCTTATACGCCGGAAAATACGGTATGTATGATGCATGCATATTCTTAGCCCCCAAGTGCAGAACCTTATATTTATCAACATTAAACCTCATTTGCCACATAGTTGCCCAATTAAAGAGTGCATTGAGATCGACTTGTAAGTTGGAGACATCCTGTAAGGAGGTTATTCTACTGCAAAGCTTGGTGACATCTGCAAAGACTGAAATGGGATTTATAAATATATTAAAAAGTAAGGGTCCCAACACTGAACCTTGGGGTACACCACTAAACTATTGCACACTTTCCCACAACGCCCAAATGTGAATCTATGACTGCACCAGTATTTATAAGATGGTGCAAAATCCCTTGGATTAATATCAAATAGTATAGGCCACATATATTGTATGTGACCTTCCCAAAAGGTGAAGAAATGAAGTAATGACATGTACCCCACACGGCTTCACTTCACAATAGAAACGCACAATAAGAATGCACAGTAAAAAGATAGTCCAATAATAGTCTAGTAGTCAAAAAAAAGCCACAGATAGATGTATTTTGATAAGATCCCTGTGACGCATATAGTCCGGCGTTGTGCGGGAAAAAATGAATAAATTGCGTACTCACGGAAGCACAATTTAATTGTGCGTTTTATATCTCATACACCAAGGATCACTCCAGCTGTAGATGCAACGAAGCTCTGAACAGGTGATTCCGTGATGGGGGGTGCCACATCTGGGGGTCCCTTATGGTAGACCTGGCTCCAAACAGGATCAGCTGAATATTACTCTGGGCCCTGGGGTAGTCACCTTGTGGTCCTGAGGGATTAAATGCTTCTTGCTGCAATCCTGTTCCCTTCTCATGTGTTTGTCTGTGCTTATCTTAGATAAGCACAGATACCATAAGGGACCCCCAGATGTGGCACCCCCCATCACGGAATCACCTGTTCAGAGCTTCGTTCCATCTACAGCTGGAGTGATCCTTGGTGTATGAGATATAAACGCACAATTAAATTGTGCTTCCAGTGAGTGCGCAATTTATTCATTTTTTTCCGCACAACGCCGGACTATATGCGTCACAGGGATCTTATCAAAATACATCTATCTGTGGCTTTTTTTTTACTACTAGACTATTATTGGACTATCTTTTTACTGTGCATTCTTATTGTGCGTTTGTATTGTGAAGTGAAGCCGTGTGGGGTACATGTCATTACTTCATTTCTTCACCTTTTGGGAAGGTCACATACAATATATGTGGCCTATACTATTTGATATTAATCCAAGGGATTTTGCACCATCTTATAAATACTGGTGCAGTCATATATCATCTAGCGCTGCACTATTTATGTTATATTGTCAATTTGAAGGTTTATGGTTTTTCGTTTTTAGTGTATCAGCTGCTGTATCAGTTAGCGCTCACTGAACCCCTTATTACCAAATGTGAATCTAGCCTAAAGTGCCCTCCTGAATTCCTGATATTCACTTCACCAGCACACCCCCTCTTCTCCCTTCATCATGGCTGACTACAATAGCCTCACAGGATTGGGAAGTGATGTCAACCCCCACCAAACACCTTAGCTCAGCAAGGAAGTGCTGGCAAGGTGACATCTTTTTAACATTGATCTGGATCAGTGAAGGACACAAAGATGATGTATATGTAAAGCATGAAAAAAATCTGCATGAAAACCATGTAATCGAAGCAATAAGCCGAGGTGTTGCTACCACAGACATATATAAAAGAAAACCCTTTATATTCCTGTTATTTGTGGATTATAACAAACAAGGAACAGGAACATGATTACATAGCTGTGCTTGCTCCAAAACAATGTTTTAGTTTTTTTCAGTACATTAGAATGAAGTGTGTCCGATACTTGTAGTACAGAACACACATCATTTGACTTTAAGTGTCTGAAGTGAGGCTGAAGAGCTCAACTGGCACAGCATTAAACTGAAGGCCTTCGCTTATCAGCAATAGTGCTGGCTGGAGTGGATGTAAGTGTTAGAAGACAGGAGATCTCTAGCAGGTACAGGATGAAATCTAAGACAGCGGATTGTAAACAAATCCCTCACAAAGATATCTCAGTGTAACTAAGCCCATGAGCGCTAATGAATACGTTTCACCCAGGGACTGAAAGAAGGAAAGAACAGACAATCACAGGTGTTCGCAAGAATTGTCAAAACAAAGAAAATCACAAAAAATATATTTTTTAAAAAAGACAGACAGCCTATTACACAGTGTTCAAAAACAGCACTTAGACCTCTGCCAATTCTCTCCCGTGAAAAGCACACTGAGATTACACAAGGGGGAAGAAAATAACAGAGATACCCCCCAGAGGACAGTCACTGATGACTGACAGTTACCCCATATGCTAGCTCTTTATCCTACAGGTAGCAGCAAAACCCGACATATGGCTCCTTATCACAGATTGCTCAGAAAACAACTGTGCTGCTCAAGAATAGAGAACCACAGGCTCCCTTGCTAATAAAACCAAATCAGAATATATAATTGCTACACCTTTCATCACCTACACACCTTTCATCACAGCACACAGGTTATTTTGAAGAGAAAAAAAAAAAAAGAAACAGGAGCCTTTACAATTCATGTAATAAATGGACCTTTCCAATTCAACCTGCAGACAACCAAGATTTTCTAAAATTGTTCATAATGTTGATCCCAGCAACCATGGCAACTCTAGTCTGTGTCTCCAGACATTCCCAGATAACCAGTCTTCCTGCTCACTGCTTTCTCTAGACATCTGCAAAGAGCTTGAGATCAAATCAAAGGCATCCCCTGCAAGAAGATTTTTTTTTATCTTTAGTATTCTAAGTTTACGTGAAAAATTGACACCATGCCTGCATATTTTCTTGTGATGCAGAACAGATGTCCTCTTCAGAAATAAAGGATAAATAAGCAAATGAATCAGGTTTCATCTTTCACAGACATGACTAGATAAAAGACTCATTTAGCAGTGTTACGCGGCATTGCCTAACGCTGTCTTTCTGCAAGGACAGGGAAAATGGGCTTATTTTCTATGGTTTTAGTCCACACCAATGAATCAGGTTTGTGTGTAATCTAAAAAAAAAACGAACTGTAGAGACTGCATTTATATACAGTGCATTAGACGCCACAGTACATGGTAAAAGCACAGAAGGAGAAAAGGGGGGGGAAGGGTCATTAAAAAAATGAACGCCAGCCTCTGCTTCTTATTGATCCACTAATGCATACACTGCAACAACTTACGCAGCAATGCACATCTCTGCCCCCGACTACACCTTTAACCTAGTCTCAAAAAATACCAACCTAATCGTCCTCTCCGTTCCTCCCAAGACCATCTGCTTTCTAGCTCCCTTGTCACCTCCTCCCATACTCACCTCCTGGACTTCTTCCGAGCCTCTCCCATCCTTTGGAATTCCTCACCCCAATCTGTCCAACTATGTCCTACTCTGTCTTCGTTTAGACAATCCCTGAAAACCCTTCTCTTTAGAAAAGCCTATCCTGCCCCCAGCTAACAACTTTCTCCATCAGTTCATCACCCACAGTTATGACCTTTTGTATTTCTTGGCCCTCCCTCCTAGATTGTAAGCTCTAAGGAGCAGGGCCCTCTGATTCCTCCAGTATTAAATTGTATTGCAACTGTACTGTCTGACCTCATATTGTAAGGAGCTGTGTAAACTGCTGGAGCTATACAATTCTTGTATATTAATAATTTATTTATTATAGGTACTTGTATAGTGCTGTCAATTTACGCAGCGCTTTACATATATATTGTACATTCACATCAGTCCCTAACCCTCAAGGGGGTGTACAATCTAAAGTCTCTAACTTACATTCATACATACACATACTAGAGACAATTTAGACAGGATCCAATTAACCTACCAGCATGTCCTTGGAGTGTAGGAGGAAATCGGAGTACCCGGAGGAAACCCACGCAGGCACAGGGAGAACATGCAAACTCCAGGCAGGTGGTGCCGTGGCTGTGATTTGAACCGACGACCCTATTACTGCCAGGTGGAAGTGCTAACCATTTAGCCACTGTGCTGCCCTATAATAATAGACTGAAGTGTGAATAACCCCATGTAATCTGAATGGTGTATAGTTGTTACTGTACTTTATTGCTGCCCTTTGCATAAATTACTAAAATACCCGGAAAGGGAATTTGCATCATTTTTGCCCTACCAAAACCATGACTATCACAAGATGGGCGTGGTAAAACC